AATTAAATACCCCCTCCCGCGGTAAAATGCGTAAAACACCTATCCTCCCCCGCGGCCCATGCCTATAAAGCCCATTTTGGGCAGTACCCCCCCCCCCCTCCCCCCCGGGCTGGAATCCCTCCATGCTAACAAAATACAACAGTGAACATTCAAGGGTCAAAGTGTCAAAACGTGCCCCTATTGTTAAACAGAAGGCCATTAAAATGCGTTTAATCTCCAAGAATTGAAAGGACGTGACCACTTTACAAAAATAAGAGTCCAAATATTGTTTTAGGATTGCTGACATGTTTTCTTTTCCCAAGAAAAATAATGCTGTGGAATTATCTTAGAACAGCGTATTTGGTGTACAGGTATCTTTGGTTAATTAAAAGAAATTAAGCGGAGTTTTTTTTAAAGATATGAAGATTGGAAGAATAATAATTAAAATGTTTTTACAAGCATTGATATCAGACTTATTGCATGCAGAGAAGTCTTTCACGTTTCTAGCAATCTTTGGGTGTATTGAGTATTGACTTTCAGAAGTTTATTCATTTTGTCGGCTGCAAGTTCAATATATGACATAAATGTTATATTGAATCAACTAGGCAGTAATATTCCCATTTGCTTCTATATTTCATCAGTGATCTCATTGGCTCATTGGCAGCTATCTGAAACAAACTGAGTTGCTTGTGTGACAGAACAAATACAGCCGCTCGCTTAAACTCTAGAGGAATACAAAATACAAGCTTATCCGGCAAGACACCATCGACGGCATTTACATTTTCTTGTTTCTTTTTTCCTCTTCCGGAGTTAAGCTGCTGAGCAAACACAACTTGTGTCTCTTAAACCACTCTTCCGGCATTTTTGGTAAGCCTAGCTTTTATGACGTCTTATAAGCGGGCAAGATTCCAAGGTTATAAGTAGATATATTTAATATCTTGGAATTGGACTGACATGTCTAACTTCCTCGCTTTCTAAGAACACGGACACAACGATTGACGTTGTTTACGGTTCATGTGTTAAATAACTTCACTGTCTTTCAAGAATGAGGAACGCAACTTTACTCTTTTACAACTGAAGGTGACACTGAGAAACTGTCACAGACCTGAACAGAGATCACTGGAGCACGGCAATAACAAACTTTGACTTCCTTACGCTAAAACAATTGACCATGAGAAACAATTCGTTAGGAGATATCACCAATCTCTCTGCTTCAGACTGTTCCCTTCCGCTGGCTCATGGCTTTGGCCTAATGGCGGCCAATTCTGTCGGAGCTGTGGTGGGTACTTTTGGTAACTTCCTTGTTTGCACCGCGGTTCTTTACACAAGCCCTAGACTACGAAGATGCTCTAACTATCTTCTTGTTAGCTTGGCGATCGCTGATTTGATCGTGACCATGGTGTGTGAGCCGTTAGTCGTGGGAATTGTGGCCAAGAAAACCTTTTTCAACGACTGTGCATCAAACCTGGAGCTCGCCTATGTTGTGTCTTCTAACTTCTCGTGCTCAGCTTCTGTCATGCATCTAGCGGCAATCAGCGTCGATCGCTTTCTCGCCGTAATTTTCCCTCTCCGTCATGGTCGCATAATGAAGAGCCATGGCTTGAAGGTCATGTTGATAGTTGTTTGGGGTGTAGCAACAGTGTTTGCATCTCTTCGCGTGCCTTTCCTGAAAGAAACAGCTTACATGGTTGTTGCGATGTTTATTATAAGCTATTTCCTTGTCNGTGGGTACTTTTGGTAACTTCCTTGTTTGCACCGCGGTTCTTTACACAAGCCCTAGACTACGAAGATGCTCTAACTATCTTCTTGTTAGCTTGGCGATCGCTGATTTGATCGTGACCATGGTGTGTGAGCCGTTAGTCGTGGGAATTGTGGCCAAGAAAACCTTTTTCAACGACTGTGCATCAAACCTGGAGCTCGCCTATGTTGTGTCTTCTAACTTCTCGTGCTCAGCTTCTGTCATGCATCTAGCGGCAATCAGCGTCGATCGCTTTCTCGCCGTAATTTTCCCTCTCCGTCATGGTCGCATAATGAAGAGCCATGGCTTGAAGGTCATGTTGATAGTTGTTTGGGGTGTAGCAACAGTGTTTGCATCTCTTCGCGTGCCTTTCCTGAAAGAAACAGCTTACATGGTTGTTGCGATGTTTATTATAAGCTATTTCCTTGTCATCGGAAGCTACTTGTCCATCACGATTTCGGTATTTCTGCTCAGGAGGAGAAAGAAGCAAGCATCAAGGCAAGGCAGAACAGTCAGAATTTCTGTCAGCAGCAAAGCTGAGAGACGGTTTGCCTTCACGCTGGCTATTGTAATTGGTGTATTCACAGCATGCTGGTTTCCCATGATCGTTGTTTTCTTTGCTGCCGGGAAGTCTTTGGTGAAAATGTACGGGACAGCGTACATGTGGATAAGAACTTTGGCCTTGTTAAATTCAGCTATGAACTTTCTTATCTACAGCGCTAGAATTCGTGACTTCAGAGACTCCTATGCTCTTATATGCCGCAAGATTCTTCGCTGTGGCTGATGCGATTTAGTTTTGTGTATACTGAATTTAAAAGGAGATAAATTACTTATTATATTGTTTTAAAGGAAACAATTTATCGATATTTAACCGAGGCGTCAGTGCCTAAGACTTTGTTAATAGTGACTATTAGTACATATATACCACAAAAATGAATGGTGATTTTAACGCGCAGTGATTTGCTAGGTCGCAGGTGCTAAGCCATTTAAGTACTATTCACTTCCCAGCAGCGTCGAGAGAAACAGAAAGCATTTTAGTCTTGAAATGGACTTTTTTCGTGAACTGCAGTGTGGGATCTAATTATAAAAACATTTTATTACTGAAGATCCAGCTGAAGAACGTCGAAAAAAGTTTGAAGTCATTCGTTTTGTTCACATCGTTTGATTGCTACACTAACCATGTGACTCTATGAGCATTATATGCATTTTGCGGCGCGCAAGATTTTAAAATTTCCAAGCACTGGACAAAATAAAGTTATAGACTGTTCACAGTCCCCTATTTTTCCGTGAGATCGTCGATATATAGCGCGTCTTACCATTTATGGCGGCCATCTTGATTTTCAAGTAGTAGTTTTTACACTCCTGCAAGGTGGCAGCCGTAACGCAAAACGCTCGATCTAGACGATCTTATGGAAAAATAGGGGCCTGTGAACAGGCTAATAAAGTTATTTTTAGGTCAGCTTTCAAATTATTCACCTTGTGTGGTGAAAGTTTGGGTCAAATTGGTGGATATTTAATAATACACTTAAACATCCACAACTATTCACCACTGTGAATAATTGTTAACAAGACATTAATTCGTCAGCGACTACCAAATGACCTCTGAAATTAAGTACTCAAGAGGAAAATGTTTGCAATCTACAGCTGTTAAATTTCACCCTGAGCTGCGTCCTTCCTTCCTTCTCTCATTAATCCGCCTTACAAGGTCTGTAACTGAACAATCTGCAACCGGAGGCTTTTTGCTCTTCCCTACAGTAATTAGTTCTTAAGAAGGTTGTTAAATAGTTTTCGTATAATGATGAAATTGAAAACGGATTAGCGTTGAACCGGAAGGATTCAGGAGAGAATCTTGGAAGATGATGATACCAGTTCAAAGTTGTGGCAAGTCATGGTTCTTGCGCGGAAGACGGAGAGTGAAGAAATCGGAGGACTGGAATGAAAGGTGGGGGTAGTTGAGTTCACTTACCTCCTTTCATCATTTCATCTAGCATCGCGCGCGCACCTACAGATTAGTCAGTAATTATCTGATAGCAGATAACTAACTAATCTAAAAGTTGCGAAGATTTCTAAAATTAGCTGTAGGCTCTTAGCCAATAAGAAGACAGATAGTGAGTACAAGTGTAGTGGGCCGCTCAAGGCCTGGGGTCAAAGTGTCAAAACATGCCTCAGGGGCGTAGCCAGCCCATAGACTTGTAGGCCCGGGCCTACAAATTTTTGCTTTGATCAGTCTACCACTTGTAATAAATTATGCGTTGTTGGAGTGAGGTGAAAAGCTTAAGAGCTCGAAGTGTTGGTTAGGTTAGTACGTACTAGTCATGCGTGCAATTTTCAGGATATCTGGAAATGAAAGTCAGCCAGGCCTACAACTAATCGAAAAGCTGGCTACGCCCTTACTATTTAACGGAAGGTCACTAAAATAAATATAAGAGTCCAAAAATTGTGTTAGGCTTGCTGACATATTTTTTTTTCTTTTTAAGAAAGATAACATGCAATATGAAGTACGCAGAAGAACTGAAATAAATACTACGATGAACGACAGTGTTTTTTTCCAAAGAAAGATAATGCCTTGGAGATATCGTTGAATAGCTTGTTTGGTGTATAGCCATCTTTGGTTAATCATAAGAAAAACGAAGTTTATTTTAAAGATTAAATATTGGAAAATTAATAAATGAAACTGTTCTTGCATGTTCTTAGATTGCAGAGAAGTCTTTCATGTTTCTAGCAGTCTTTTGGTGTATTGAGTATTAACTTTCAGAAGTTTATTTATTTTGTCGCCTTCAAGTTGAACTATATGTTGTATGGAATCAACTAGGCAGTGATCTCCCCATTTTCTTCTAGAAATCGTGATCGTATTGGCTTATTAATACCTATTATCTGGAAGAAATTGTTGGGTTGCCTGTGTGACGGATCAAGTACAGCCACTCTACCTTATAGCTTTGGCGCCGCCATGAAAACCATACCGGATAAGGCTCCTGTTCACACACAAGAACGGTTGTGGCGGCGCGATTTCTGTCACGGAACGAAAACGCGCCGCGCCGATCTCGAAAATGGAGCGTGACATTTAGATTTTGTACCATACAAAATCAGTAGGAGTCGTGCCGTATGAACACCTATTCAGTCCGTCCCGAAAGTAAATAAGTAGGAGCGAGAACTGGGACTCATTAACCGGAAAAGGTTCCAAAGTTATAAGTACACACTGAAGTTATAAGTACACATAAGTATTTTGGGAATGGTTCCGGGCACGTCTAACTTTCCCTCTATTTAAGAACACAGTAAACGCATTGAAGTGCTGCATTATTTCACTTTCTTTCAAGAATCAAGATCGTAAATTTGCTCTTTTGGAACTGTTAAGGCGACACTGAGAGACTGTCAAAGACTGAATAGAGTTCAACTGGAGAAACAACAAACATACTGGAAAATTGCTAGTTGGCTTCCTTACACGGAAACCATTGACCATGAGAAACAATTCGATAGGAGACGTCACCAATCTCTCTGCTTCAGACTGTTCCCTTCCACTGGCTCATGGCATTAGCCTAATGGCGGCCAATTCTGTCGGAGCTGTAGTTGGTACTTTTGGTAACTTCCTTGTTTGCACCGCGGTTCTTTACACAAGCCCTAGACTACGCAGATGTTCAAACTATCTTCTTGTTAGCTTGGCGATCGCTGATTTGATCGTGACCATGGTGTGTGAGCCGTTAGTCGTGGGAATCGCCACCAAGAAAACCTTTTTCAACGACTGTGCATCAAACCTGAGGCTCGCCTATGTTGTAGCTTCTAACTTCTCGTGTGCAGCTTCTGTTTTGCACCTAGCGGCAATCAGCGTTGATCGCTTTCTCGCCGTTATTGTCCCTCTCCGTCATGGTCACATAATGAAGAGCTATGGCTTGAAGGTCATGTTGATAGTTGTTTGGGGTGCATCAACAGTGTTTGCATCTCTTCGTGTGCCTTTCGTGAAAGTAACAAATTATGTGGTTTTTGTGATGTTTATCATAAACTATTTCCTCATCATCGGATGCTACTTGTCCATCACGATTTCGGTATTTTTACTTAGGAGGAGAAAGAGACACGTACCGGCATCGACGCAAGGCAGAACATTAACTTCCGTCAGGAGCAAAGTTGAGCGACGGTTTGCCTTCACGCTGGCTATTGTAATTGGTGTATTCACAGCATGTTGGGTTCCCTTGATTGTTGTTGGCTATCATGTCGGGAAATCTCTGGTGAAACTGTACGGAACCGCGTACATGTGGGCTACAACTTTAGCCTTGTTAAACTCAGCTATGAACTTTCTTATCTACAGCGCTAGAATTCGTGACTTCAGACACTCCTATGCTCGTATATGCCGCAAGATTCTTCGCTGTAACTAATGCGATCTTGCAGTTCAGTTGTACGTGTGTATTTTAAAAAATTTTACAAAAAACTGAAGATATATGGACAGAAATTAATTCAAAAGGAACTAACAAATTACATCAAGTTATCGACATTTAACCTGAACATATAAGTGAATACCAGTCGACATATCAGACTTTGTTAATAGTGACTACTATTAGTACATACACTGCACAAGCGAGTGCTTTTAGAGAGCGCTGATTTGGTAGGTTGCAGGTGATAAGCCATGCAAGCGATTTTTTGGAGGTAAACAAGAAAGTTTCTAATATAGCTATTAAATCAGAGCTTGGTCATTTTCTTTTAAATATCACTATCACAAAAAAAATTCTCAAATACATTTTGTTTATGTAGTCTAAAGATGAGGAACTTCTCTCGTCAAACAAGCTTTTTCAATGTCATTTAACTTATACTGTAATGGCAAAAATAGCTTCCACTCTCATTTGATAAATAAGTCAGAATACTTTAAGCTTCCTGACTTTAACACTGATTTATTAGATAAAGCTATGGTAAAAAGCTATGTAAGCTCAATGAAACAGGAATATATCTTGTATTTGCAAAGCACCCTTCAACATTCTCAAAAACTTGAATTTTATAGATCTTTCAAAACCGATCATACCACCTCTAGTTACTTAGAATTAACAAGAGGAACAGCTGGGAGTAGAGCTTTAGCCACGGTAAAACTGCGAATAAGCAATCACAAACTAATGATAGAAATAGGCAGATACAATCAAACTACGAAGGATAATATAGGCATTGCCCTTTTTGTGGATCCATTCTAATAGAAGACGAAGGTCACTTTCTTTTTCAATGTCCTACATACTCTATGATTAGGAATAAATTTTACTATAAAGTCAAGACTCTGATTCCAAATATTACCCAGTTACCTATAAACTGTTTGATTAGTATAGGTAATAGCATGATTTGTAGTGATATTTGGCATAAATACCACAAGTGATATATTTGAAAATTGTTATACATAATTTGAGAAATTTGAGACAATTTTGAAATATCACGAGTGGTATTTATGCCAAATATCACGTACAAATCATGCTATTATTTCTTTATACTACTACTCACAAAAAGGTTGTAATTTTCACATGTAGGTATTTCGAATTAAGCGAATTCAATCATAGAGTCACTTAATCTATTCCAATCCCTAATTGTCCTAGCAAAAAAACTAAACTTGTAAGTATTTCCTGATTAGGAGGGTTGAATAAACTTCTTAGGGTTATACTGGCGGGTGATTCATCCCTTAGCCTTAATTTCGTCAGGTAAATGGGTCAACGTAAATTTACATGTATACGTGCCTGAAACTACTTAAACTACCTGAAAGCGAAACTTCGGAACTTTCCTGCATATTATATTTAGTCACCCTTGCGTATTTATTTAACAAACATTGTGGCCGTTCGTTCAATTCTCGTTTGGATTTTGGATTTGTCGAAAACGCAACGCCTTCTTTACCTTTAAACAACCGAACATGAAAAACAATTCGTTGGAAGACATCACCAATCTGTCTGCTTCAGACTGTTCCCTTCCACTGGCTCATGGCATTAGCCTAATGGCGGTTAATTCTGTCGGAGCTGTAGTTGGTACTTTTGGTAACTTCCTTGTTTGCACCGCGGTTCTTTACACAAGCCCTAGACTACGCAGATGTTCAAACTATCTTCTTGTAAGCTTGGCGATCGCTGATTTGATCGTGACCATGGTGTGTGAGCCGTTAGTCGTGGGAATCGCGACCAAGAAAACCTTTTTCAACGACTGTGCATCAAACCTGAGGCTCGCCTATGTTGTAGCTTCTAACTTCTCGTGTGCAGCTTCTGTTTTGCACCTAGCGGCAATCAGCGTTGATCGCTTTCTCGCCGTTATTGTCCCTCTCCGTCATGGTCACATAATGAAGAGCTATGGCTTGAAGGTCATGTTGATAGTTGTTTGGGGTGCATCAACAGTGTTTGCATCTCTTCGTGTGCCTTTCGTGAAAGTAACAAATTATGTGGTTTTTGTGATGTTTATCATAAACTATTTCCTCATCATCGGATGCTACTTGTCCATCACGATTTCGGTATTTTTACTTAGGAGGAGAAAGAGACACGTACCGGCATCGACGCAAGGCAGAACATTAACTTCCGTCAGGAGCAAAGTTGAGCGACGGTTTGCCTTCACGCTGGCTATTGTAATTGGTGTATTCACAGCATGTTGGGTTCCCTTGATTGTTGTTGGCTATCATGTCGGGAAATCTCTGGTGAAACTGTACGGAACCGCGTACATGTGGGCTACAACTTTAGCCTTGTTAAACTCAGCTATGAACTTTCTTATCTACAGCGCTAGAATTCGTGACTTCAGACACTCCTATGCTCGTATATGCCGCAAGATTCTTCGCTGTAACTAATGCGATCTTGCAGTTCAGTTGTACGTGTGTATTTTAAAAAATTTTACAAAAAACTGAAGATATATGGACAGAAATTAATTCAAAAGGAACTAACAAATTACATCAAGTTATCGACATTTAACCTGAACATATAAGTGAATACCAGTCGACATATCAGACTTTGTTAATAGTGACTACTATTAGTACATACACTGCACAAGCGAGTGCTTTTAGAGAGCGCTGATTTGGTAGGTTGCAGGTGATAAGCCATGCAAGCGATTTTTTGGAGGTAAACAAGAAAGCTTCTAATATAGCTTTTAGATCAGAGCTTGGTCATTTTCTTTTAAATATCACTATCACAAAAGTTACTTAGAATTAACAAGAGGAACAGCTGGGAGTAGAGCTTTAGCGACGGTAAAACTACGAATAAGCAATCACAAACTAATATATGATAGAAATAGGCAGATACAATCAAACTACGAAGGATAATATAGGCATTGCCCTTTTTGTGGATCCATTCTAATAGAAGACACAGGTCACTTTCTTTTTCAATGTCCTACATACTCTATGATTAGGAATAAATTTTACTATAAAGTCAAGACTCTGATTCCAAATATTACCCAGTTACCTATAAACTGTTTGATTAGTATAGGTAATAGCATGATTTGTAGTGATATTTGGCATAAATACCACAAGTGATATATTTGAAAATTGTTATACATAATTTGAGAAATTTGAGACAATTTTGAAATATCACGAGTGGTATTTATGCCAAATGTCACGTACAAATCATGCTATTATTTGTTTATACTACTACTCACAAAAAGGTTGTAATTTTCACATGTATGTATTTCGAATTAAGCGGAAATACCACTGCCCTAAGCCAATCAAATTGCAGAAATTTCTCATGTAGTCGTATAAAGGTTGAAATCAGGGCAGTTGATAGCCAATCAGGTTTGACAATTTTGTTATAGTTACCATTAATGAACTAATGAACTCCTCTAATTACTTTATCAATATACAATTCATAAAATATATTTCAGCTTGTTTTGATGTTCGTGACAAATTATTATCAAAGTAACGTAATTGCCCTATGATGTAATTTTGAGTCGAAAAATTAGCTTTTACAATACTGTATGTGCATGTATGGTTATGCAAATAAAGCTCGTTGTTATTGTTTTATTACCTCCGAGCAGCCTCGAGGAGAAACAAAGAACATTTAAGACTTGAACTGGTCTTGTTCGAGTTTATAATCTTTCCCAGATAAAGTTAGCTCGGACTTTCTCTAATAAGGAATTGTAATGAGTAGATGAAAACTGCGCCTAAAAATTTATGAACCCGACATGAAACTTCTTGCAGATAAAATGAACAACAACCTCGTCTCCAGGGTCTTTTCGATATGGCGGCCGCCAAAACGAGAAGACCCTGAGGACGACGTTGACTAAACAAAACTTGGTCACGTGGTACAAAATGACGTTTGCCGGAAATGTGATTCTAATTGTCTCTCCTTTAGACAGTGGTGTGAAGTACTATAGAAACCCGGGGGGTGGGGGGTGCGACATACAAGATCAAAAATCGCACCGCTTCCCTAGCGTTTTATTTTACCTGCTTTGCTCTCCAGTTCGTGCTGTTGGGTACTATCCAAACGCCTGCAGACTTCAGTCGGCCATTTTATTCATGATGTGCTATGTGCTCGATTACTTTTGTTAGTAGTATTGTGGTATGAAATAGCTGGAGTACTGAAACACTTCTCCGATAGACTCGAAAAACTGCAAAACAGGGCTGCTACAATAAATATATAATTTTCTTCAGATCTCGCACCTTTGCCGGAAAGGATACCGCAATTTACGGTTGTATCGCGCTAGACTGCATGCCCTGAGGAGTGACCTGAATCAGTTTCGTACCTCGAAAATTACCTTTTAGTAATATATTTTCTCTTGGATTTCTGACCTTTCGAAGAGAGGTAGCGTATTTTTGGCTTTGTTTAGGTTTCTGCTGCGAACGCGGAGACGCAACACCAAGGTTCACTATGATGTTGGTAATAAGAACGGGCATGTCTAACGCAGTCTCATCAGTCTTATCGCCACGGTTGATAAAGTTTTATTCTTTCATTTCCGTTGCAGGATCAGGAGCGTAACATCTACTTCTTTAATCTATAAAGGTTTCCCATGGATGTGTTTTCAGGTAGAGCTCACAGATTTGACAAACATGTTCCTTATAAATAAATCATAAATAAATTAAAGCAAAACATAAGTGAAATAAACACTATCAAAAAAACTCTTGTTGTAACAAATTAATAATTAAATTACTCACGGCTAGTTTGAAGCTATCATATGTTTCACATTCAATCACAGAATCACTTAATCTATTCCAATCCCTAATTGTCCTAGCAAATAAACTAAACTTGTAAGTATTTCCTGATTAGGAGGGTTGAATAAACTTCTTAGGGTTATACTGGCGGGTGATTCTTCCCTTAGGCTTAATTTCGTCAGGTAAATGCATGGGTCAACGTAAATTTACATATATACGTGCCTGAAACTACTTAAACTACTGAGAGCGAAACTTCGGAACTGTCCTGCATATTATATTTAGTCACCCTTGCGTATTTATTTAACAAACATTGTGGCCGTTCGTTCAATTCTCGTTTGGATTTTGGATTTGTCGAAAACGCAACGCCTTCTTTACCTTTAAACAACCGAACATGAAAAACAATTCGTTGGAAGACATCACCAATCTCTCTGCTTCAGACTGTTCCCTTCCACTGGCTCATGGCTTTGGCCTAATGGCGGCCAATTCTGTCGGAGCTTTGGTGGGTACTTTTGGTAACTTCCTTGTTTGCACCGCGGTTCTTTACACAAGCCCTAGACTACGCAGATGCTCTAACTATCTTCTTGTTAGCTTGGCGATCGCTGATTTGATCGTGACCATAGTGTGTGAGCCGTTAGTCGTGGGAATTGTGGCCAAGAAAACGTTTTTCAACGACTGTGCACCAACCCTGGAGCTCGCCTATGTTGTTTCCTCTAACTTCTCGTGTGCAGCTTCTGTTTCGCACCTAGCGGCAATCAGCGTTGATCGCTTTCTCGCCGTTATTTTCCCTCTCCGTCATGGTCGTATAATGAAGAGCTATGGCTTAAAGGTCATGTTGATAGCTGCTTGGGGTGCATCAACAGTGTTCGCCTCACTTCGCGTGCCTTTCTTGAAAGAAACAGCTTACATGGTTGTCGTGATGTTTATCATAAGCTACTGCCTTATCATAGGATGCTACTTGTCCATCACGATTTCAGTATTTTTGCTCAGGAGGAGAAAGAAGCAGGCATCGACGCAAGGCAGAACAGTAATTTCCGTCAGTAGCAAAGTTGAGAGACGGTTTGCCTTCACGCTGGCTATTGTAATTGGTGTATTCACAGCATGCTGGTTTCCCATGATCGTTGTTTTCTTTGCTGCCGGGAAATCTTTGGTGAAAATGTACGGAACCGCGTACATGTGGATAAGAACTTTGGCCTTGTTAAATTCAGCTATGAACTTTATTATCTACAGCGCTAGAATTCGTGACTTCAAAAAGGCCTTCGCCATTATATGCCGCAAGATTCTTCGCATTGTTTGAAGCAATCCAGGTACTATGCTCGGCGTACTCAATCGAACAGACTCGAACGAATTTCAACGGAACTTTAAGGGGCTATGTCGCGAGGATATTGCTGTTTTAGGTCAATTTTGTCCTAAAGTCATTGCTAAGTGCCTTAAACCATACAGAAAATGCTGCTTTTAATTAGAGTTATATGAAGAATATATCCAACAAATTTCAGCAGGGAGCACTAGCCATAATAATTGCTTTCATTGGTTATTTTTGCGGGCAAAGCCAATTCAACTTGAAAAATGTGGCTCAACGTTTTCAAGTTTCAATCCATCTCCATCTCTGCCATCCGTTGCAACAGATGACAGGAAACAGTTTCAATGCTTAAACAAAGTCGTAAATAACAAAACTGGCCCATAATTTAACGAATTCAATTGATGCGAAGCCAAGATTTAGCTTCTTAAAAAAGATAGGAAATAGCGTGATATACTCTTGCCCCATATAAGGGAATTCCGTATTTCAGAAGCGGTGAAATTTTTGCTTGTGAAATCTGGAATCCTGGGCTATGGAATCCGGAATACAGCTCAAGAAATCCGGAACCCTACTGACGATTGGAATCCAGAATCCAAGTTCCACTGAAAAAGAATCTGTAATCTGTAATCCCACGGCGTGGAATTCAGAATCCAAGAATGTCTTGGATTCGACATTGCCCCTTTAAATCATCGACTGAGTTCTATAAAGTTCGGTAATCGAACTAACCAAAAAAACATTCGCTCGATCGAACAGTTTTGAAACACTCCTTCACAAAAATATAAGCTTATGAGTTAGTTTATTACTTAATTGCTGTTTAAACCATTTAGACATCGGAGCCCGGTTCCTGAAAGGCCGATTAGCGCTAATCCAGGATTAAAATTTTTGTTCCATTTTTTGTATTTACCTTCCTATGCAATGCTTAGAGTAATTTTTTGTGTTATCATTAATGTATCTCAGAGCAAAAGCTCAAGTGTATTTTGTCAGCTTGAGTTACATGTTCTTAGACAAGAAAACCTTACTTAAAATTTGGCTTAATCCTGGGTTAAACTTTCGAGGAACCGGGCTCAGTTGTTATCTTGTTTTGTCTTTTATTTCAGTCTTTGGTTCTGAAAAGTATAATGTTGAACACTGAGTACCTAAAAAGAAATTATAATTTTTGGCATATTTGAATGGTCAAGTTATCAATGATATTTTACAGAGTAATATTTGTAATATAAATGTAAATACGATGCAAACAACTAGATAATAAATTTTAAGTCAGCCATATTGTGGGAGCAAGCCATGTTTTCCCGCCATATTAACTTGCGTACTAGTAAGTATGCTTTATTGAGAGATCAGAAGTTCCTGTCAACATTAAACAGGAATGGAGTGACGGAACATAACTCTCAAAGCTCTTTCCACGCTAAGCTACGCTAAAAATAAAAGCTGATTTGTTACAAGAGAGGTTTGATTGGTGGGTGGTAAAACGCGCAACATCACTATTCAACTCGTTTTGCAGTAATATTGCGAAACAATTTTGCACGGTTTTTTGCCTGTTTTACCGTATCTAAAACCATCAGAATTCGTTCAGAAGTTTTGTCCTTTTCTGCTTAATAATCTTCGCAATAAGCGGCAAAGGCTGTAAGTAGTCTTTTATCTGGAGGTCTTTGGGCATCCTCTCCCAGAAAAAAAAGAATAAAATAAAATAAATAAGTAGAGAAGTGTTCCTAGTTATTTTCATTGTTTATATTGTTTATAAAAAATGAAGTTTAAAGACTTAAAGCCGTTATTGTTTCCTTCCTATTCCAACCTTGTAAATTAACGACTCTCAGAAGACGTTAATAGACGGCGATAAACAGGCTGTCACAATCTTTTAACGGAGGTTAAAAACACTGTGTATCATTAATTTAACTCACATAATTTATCTTTCTGGACATAGTAAATAATGATGAAACACTCTCTCTTGTATTTGATACGCTACATCAAATGCCACATATGCACTGAGTTTGTTAAGGGAAAACAAATAAAAATTAATACTTTACAGCTATTAAAATCATTCTCATTTTCTAACGGTTGCTTAATAAAGAGGCAGGTTGGTTTACCCTTTTAGAAAAGAAACAACTATGCAGTCACCTTGATCTATAATTAACAACTGTTTGTTAGAAGGTCTGATGCACTCAAATCACATATTTGATCTTATCTTCTTTTCGTAGCCTTGACCCTAGTAAATAACCACTGTGTTGTATCAAATTAGCAAAAAGCATTTACACTCATCTGGGCGAACTTTCAGGAGCAAGAAAAAGGCTGAGGAGAAAATATATATTGAGATATTGTTAGACACGAAGCGGCCTCTTTCAGTCAGCAGCGGTAAGGCTAAACTACAAAAAAGCCTGTATTTTTTCCTAGGTTAAGAACGCTCGCGCGAGTGGTCAAGGAAACTGGGGAAAACGGAGTGAGACTAGGGAGAGACATAGGCCCTACGGGCGTGTCAGGCCCAACGCTCCTCGCACGAAAATATCACGCCTTGCAAAACCGATTTTGAGAAAAACAAAACCCACTGTTTTGCAGTCTAACTGAATGCTTTATAAGGCTTCAAGTGCAATCACTTCGATCAGGAAAAAAAAGTTCATTGATCACATCAATATATGAAAACAACTCAACTACGTGTACATTGATCATCGTGACAATGATCACTGCTGATAGACTTCAGTTCTATTTTAACGCTGAGTGTTTCCATTATTAGACTGGTGGAGTTGTTTCATAGCCTGAAAAAACATTTCGCAACGCCACCCCTGGTTCCCTCGCGAAATGACGTCCGAGAAACGAGCGCAGTAATTCCATACTGATCCCGCTTCTGATTGGTTGAAACAAACTTTCAACCAATCAAAAGCATTACTCAGATCTGGGTAGTGACAGGTCATCAGTATGGAATTGCTGCCCTCTTTCCTCAGACGTCATTTCGCGGGGAAATCAGTGGTGGCGTCGCGAAATGTCAGTTGCTTTCGCGGGCTATTTTTTTTTAAAGGCAAGCTCAACTAGTACCTCTTAAGAACGAGTACAATATTCATTGCCCTATTCACAAATGCAGGTTCACATGGGTGTGGTTACTTTAGAATTCTATGCTTTATAAATTCAGTCATCCATCTACCTGCGCGTCCCGCGTCTCAGACTAATAAATTGGAAGTTTATTACTGAAGATCGTCGAAGGTTTGAAGTCATTCGTTTTGTTCACTTATTTTGTTTCCGCTTGACACTAACCATGTGAATCTATAAGCATTCTATGCATTTTGCGGCGCGCTAGATTTTAAAATTTCCGAGCATTGGACAAAAATGAAGTTATTTTTTGGTCAGCTTTTTAATTATTCAGCTTGTGTGGTGAACGTTTGGGTGAAATTGGTGGATACACTCTTTTATCGAGGCTGAAATCTGCAAAATTTTAAGAATATTAAGAATAAACCCGAGGCTGAGATTTCGAAAAGAAAGATTATTTTGAGTAATGAAAATCTAAAAAAGTATGTTTTTAACTTGACCGTATCAAATCATTGCTTCCTCCCACGTGTGTGGCCGAGTCGGTTAACACACTCCTGATCTGGAGGTCCGGGGTTCAAGCCTCGCCCGTCGTGTTGTTTCCTTAGACAAAGAACTTTACTCCACTTTGTTTTTCTTCACGCAGGTGTATAAATGGGTACCGGCCATTTAATGGTGGGGAGTAACCCTGCGATGGACTAGCATCCCGTCCAGGGGGGAGTAGCAATACTCCTAGGTGCTTCATGCCAATGAAACCGGGATAAGCTCCGGCCGTTTGGGCCTTTGGCTCGTGTGCGCCTTTACCTTATTTTCCCACGGCAAAACTACCCAACAAAACGAAAAAACCCGCATTGGTTTTAGCGAAATGTTCAGTGCTAATGACAGTTCGATGAACGGTACATGAAATACATATCTATAGTATACAGCAAAAAGACAAACAAACAAACAAACAAGCTGCACGGTCACTTAAGTTCACTTTTGAAAATGTATGTTGAATAGCATACAAAATGTCAAGTTTGTAAAAATGAGGAAGCTCACAATGTTTATCACTGCTGTTTGTGTTTTATTTTTGCGTTCACGGTCAAATAGTTTACGTATGACGACGAAATTGACCCGGAAGAATTTAGGAGAACAGTCTTGAAACATGAGGATACTCAAACTTCTGGCAAGGCATGCCATCTCGCGCGGAAGAAGGGGAGTAGAGAAATCGGAGGGCTGGAATGAAAGGTGGGGGTAGTTGAGTTACAGTGGAGCCCCACCTAACGGCTCGATAATACGGTCACCTCGTTATTACGGCCAGTTTTTTTCGGCCCGGAAAACCGGCCATACATTTCCTTATGNACGCCACCCCTGGTTCCCTCGCGAAATGACGTCCGAGAAACGAGCGCAGTAATTCCATACTGATCCCGCTTCTGATTGGTTGAAACAAACTTTCAACCAATCAAAAGCGTTACTCAGATCTGGGTAGTGACAGGTCATCAGTATGGAATTGCTGCCCTCTTTCGTCAGACGTCATTTCGCGGGGAAATCAGTGGTGGCGTCGCGAAATGTCGGTTGCTTTCGCGGGCTATTTTTTTTTAAAGGCAAGCTCAACTAGTACCTCTTAAGAACGAGTACAATATTCATTGCCCTATTCACAAATGCAGGTTCACATGGGTGTGGTTACTTTAGAATTCTATGCTTTATAAATTCAGTCATCCATCTACCTGCGCGTCCCACGTCTCAGACTAATAAATTGGAAGTTTATTACTGAAGATCGTCGACGGTTTGAAGTCATTCGTTTTGTTCACTTATTTTGTTTCCGCTTGACACTAACCATGTGAATCTATAAGCATTCTATGCATTTTGCGGCGCGCTAGATTTTAAAATTTCCGAGCATTGGACAAAAATGAAGTTATTTTTTGGTCAGCTTTTTAATTATTCAGCTTGTGTGGTGAACGTTTGGGTGAAATTGGTGGATACACTCTTTTATCGAGGCTGAAATCTGCAAAATTTTAAGAATATTAAGAATAAACCCGAGGCTGAGATTTCGAAAAGAAAGATTATTTTGAGTAATGAAAATCTAAAAAAGTATGTTTTTAACTTGACCGTATCAAATCATTGCTTCCTCCCACGTGTGTGGCCGAGTCGGTTAACACACTCCTGATCTGGAGGTCCGGGGTTCAAGCCTCGCCCGTCGTGTTGTTTCCTTAGACAAAGAACTTTACTCCACTTTGTTTTTCTTCACGCAGGTGTATAAATGGGTACCGGCCATTTAATGGTGGGGAGTAACCCTGCGATGGACTAGCATCCCGTCCAGGGGGGAGTAGCAATACTCCTAGGTGCTTCATGCCAATGAAACCGGGATAAGCTCCGGCCGTTTGGGCCTTTGGCTCGTGTGCGCCTTTACCTTATTTTCCCACGGCAAAACTACCCAACAAAACGAAAAAACCCGCATTGGTTTTAGCGAAATGTTCAGTGCTAATGACAGTTCGATGAACGGTACATGAAATACATATCTATAGTATACAGCAAAAAGACAAACAAACAAACAAACAAGCTGCACGGTCACTTAAGTTCACTTTTGAAAATGTATGTTGAATAGCATACAAAATGTCAAGTTTGTAAAAATGAGGAAGCTCACAATGTTTATCACTGCTGTTTGTGTTTTATTTTTGCGTTCACGGTCAAATAGTTTACGTATGACGACGAAATTGACCCGGAAGAATTTAGGAGAACAGTCTTGAAACATGAGGATACTCAAACTTCTGGCAAGGCATGCCATCTCGCGCGGAAGAAGGGGAGTAGAGAAATCGGAGGGCTGGAATGAAAGGTGGGGGTAGTTGAGTTACAGTGGAGCCCCACCTAACGGCTCGATAATACGGTCACCTCGTTATTACGGCCAGTTTTTTTCGGCCCGGAAAACCGGCCATACATTTCCTTATGAAAAAAAAAAATGTTAATCTGGTCACCAGTTAATACGGCCAATGGCCAACGGCCACATAGCCTGAATTTCATCCGATTACTTCGAGTCGTTATTACTCCATCAGTAACGTCTGAATCGACCGGCCGTTAACGCCGTCCAGTGACGTCACAACTCCTTGACCTTTGCTTTAATTCATGCAAAAAGTAAAACATGATTTTCAGGCGGCAAACCGAGAAATATCGTTTGGAAATGACTGCATGATACAGAACTGCTTTATTTGTTTCGATCGTAATTCATGTTTAACGTTCAAACTATCAACTGCATGCAGTACAACTCTGAACCGGTTGTACTAAATTCCATAATCAAACTCGGTCGCAATCACGCAATGAAATAAACACACACGGAACGCTTAGTTAAAAAACACAATGATTTGCTTTAATTGAAAAGAAGCTATTTGGTCCTTAACGAAGAAAAAAAAACAAGGAGACATGAAAGAAAAGCTAACAGAATCATTACACTTGACGGTAAAAATAGCAAGAAGGTCGAATTATAACAGTGATCTCAGAAAACTTCGCGTAAACAAAATCACCGGCCGCCGAAACCGCAAAGTGGCTCTAAATGAAAAACCTACCGACTCTCCCCAATGATCCTTCATTCGCAGTTCAATACAGCATTTCAGTTTCGGAGACAAGGGCAATTTTGCTGTTTAAGATAAAGATTAAGCTTATCGAAATGTTTGAACTATTACGAAAGGATGCGAACCGCTGAAAATCAAGCGACAATCCCGCTAAAATTTTTCATAATTATACATAATTATGTGACTGTTTAGACAATCAACCAATCAAAATCACTACTCGGTTTTTGGGTAGTACTGGACGGAATTAACGGCCGGTCGATTCAGACTTTGTTGAGAGGAGAAAACGACTCGAAGCAATCGGATGAATTTCAGGCTAACGGCCACATTTCAAAATCCCAAACAGTAGAATTTAATTCAATTTCATCCCATTAATACGGCCCCTCGTTCGAAATTTCGAAAATTAAAATTCCTGTCACATGTCAATTTTATCAGCCTAGTAATCTGAGCTTATTCTTGTACTGTCTTTAGATGACTGTACACTAAAATGCACTTCTGGCGATTTATAGCTGAATTTTAAAAGAGTTTCATGTAATGAATCAAAATTTTCATTAAATTTATCATGGATAATAGAAAGATCGCGTCAGCCAGTCTTTCTATTATCCTTGATTCTATCAATTACTGTACGCGATATCTACATGCCGGTTGTTTATAATAATAATAATAATAATAATAATAATAATAATAATAATAATAATAATAATAATAATAATAGTAATAATAATAATGATAATGATAATAATAATAATGATGATGATGATGACTTTAATTCAGAATCCACAATGTGGCTCTTCGCCTGTGCCCTAAGAGCTTTCTAAACTAATATTCTAGTAATTTACAAATGGACCAACAATTAAATTGTATTGGAATTGTAAAAACAAAAAACAAAAACAAAAACATATCTAATATATTTGGTTTTGTGAAATTGAAATAAAAATGTCTATTTGTCATTGAAATAGATTCGAATCCGGGGCATTACAACAATGGCATTATTGATTGCCAAAATGAGAACAGTACGCTGAATGCGATGTATGGTGTATTTGTCATCACGTACATTAAGTCATGAAATTTGAGCCTACCTCGGTAATACGGGCCAGAAGCCGATCCTGACAGGGTATATAATTTCACCATCAAGCGTCTTGAACAGGGTGTCTTTTTGGACTGGAAGCCTTTCAAAGAGTGTTAAGACTTGCGATGAGCAGTCTACATTTAATTTGCAATACCAATAATGTTTTTCCTAAATATCTATTTCCACGATTTTAGTGCACAAAATTACTTAATTCTGTATGTAAAACAAATCAGATGGGGGTCAGAAAGTAGTGTCTCCTGTCTTAAACAAGGGTAGCGAAATGAGAAGTTTTTGTCTTAAACAGGGTCAGGAATTGAAGGCCTCGGCGGCACACCTCTACCCAGACTTCCCTTGAGTGCCCCCCCCGGAGAGAATTACAAAAGAAGATACAACAGATATTAATTCAAAGGAACAAATTACATCAAGTTATCGAAATTTAACGGGCACATAAGAGATATCAGTCTATATACCAGACTTTTTTTAATCGTGACTAAGTGACTACTATTAGTGAATACACTGCACAAGTGAGTGCAGCGAGCGCTGATTGGCTAGATTGCAGGTGATAAGCCATGCAAGGGTATTTACCTCCGAGCAGCCTCGAAGAGAAACAAAGAATTAAAGACTTGAACTTGTCTTGATCGAGTTTATAATATTTCTCAGATAACGTTAGCTCGGACTTCCTCTAATAAGGAAATGTAATGAGCAGATAAAAACTGCGCCTAAAAATTTATGAACCCGAGTTCAAACTACTTGCAGAAAAAATGAACAGCAACCTCCTCCCCAGGTTCTTCTCGTTTTCCAATATGGCGGCCCCCAAAACGAGAAGACGGAGGGGACGAGGTTGAGTGAACAGTAAACGACATGAAAAACTAGGTCACGTGGTACAAAATGACGTTTGTCGAAAATGTGATTCTAATTCTTTCTCCTTTAGACAGTGGTGTGAAGTACTATAGAAAACCGGGGGCCGATATACAAGACCAAAAATCGCACCGCTCCCCCAGCGGTTTTATTTTTACTGCTTTGCTCTCCTGTAGGCGAATATTTGTTTACACTTTTTGCCTCATTAACATATGCTTATCACTGTCTGATGACGCTAATAAAATAAAAGCTAAGAATATTGAAAGAGCATAACAGTTTCAGTTATCTCTGAAAATTGGAGCCCAATACGCCGAATGGATTAACAATGATGGGGTCGCATTTTCAATAGAGTTACTAGAATGCCGTCGTACATTTTCGGACTTTTTGGACTGTAAGACAGTTCTTCATATTAACGGTTAGCAAACGTACCAGAATGTGGCTGCAGATGAAAAGTGAAGTGTTCTTCACTCAATCTAAAAAATGGGTCAATTCATGAAAATAGAAAGTGACTAAGATGGGATCGCGAAAATTACATATTTGCACAAAAGTGACTAAGTTGGGCTATGTAATTGGCCACAAAATAGACTATAATTGGGTAGGGGCTCTGAGAGGCCAGCGGTACATACCCAACAAGAATTAACCCACGTACCCCTCCCGGGGGTAGCCTATTTTTGGCTTTGTTTAGGTTTCTGCTGAGAACGTTTAGACGTAACACCATGTTTCAAAAGTTGGTAATAGGAACAGGCATGCCTAACGCAGTCTTATCGCCACGGTTGATAAAACTTAATTATTTCATTTCATTGTAGAATCAGGACCGCAAATTTACATACCTGTCTGAATAGACATTCTTTGGAACTAGTGAAAGCGAAACTGCGGAACTGTCCTGCATATTTTAGTCACCCTTGTGTATTTACGAACATTGTGGCCGTTCGTTCAATCCTCGTTTGGATTTTGGAGCATGAAAAACAGTTCGAGTTCGCTGGAAGACATCACCAATCTCTCTGATTCAGACTGTTCCCTTCCACTGGCTCATGGCATTGGCCTAATGGCGGCCAATTCTGTCGGAGCTGTGGTGGGTACTTTTGGTAACTTCCTTGTTTGCACCGCGGTTCTTTACACAAGCCCTAGACTACGAAGATGCTCTAACTATCTTCTTGTTAGCTTGGCGATCGCTGATTTGATCGTGACCATGGTGTGTGAGCCTTTAGTCGTGGGAATTGTGGCCAAGAAAACGTTTTTCAACGACTGTGCATCAAACCTGGAGCTCGCCTATGTTGTTTCTTCTAACTTCTCGTGTTCAGCTTCTATCATGCATCTAGCGGCAATCAGCGTTGATCGCTTTCTCGCCGTTATTTTCCCTCTCCGTCATGGTCGCATAATGAAGAGCTATGGCTTGAAGGTCATGTTGATAGTTGTTTGGGGTGTAGCAGCAGTGTTTGCATCTCTTCGTGTGCCTTTGCTAAAAGAAACAGCTTATATGGTCCTTGTGATATTTGCCATAAGTTATTTTTTGGTCATCGGATGCTACTTGTCGATCACGATTTCGGTATTTTTAATCGCAAAGAGAAAGAAGCAGAAGCGAAAAGGTGGAACGGTTGTCGCCAGTACCAATGCAGAGCGACGGCTTGCCTTCACGCTGGCTATTGTAATTGGTGTATTCACAGCTTGCTGGTTTCCCATGATCGTTGTTTTCTTTGCCGCCGGGAAATCTCTGGTGAAAATGTACGGAACAGCNTGTGTGTACCGAAATTAAAAAAAGGTAAATTTTATAAAAAGTGAACAAATTCTTAAAAGAGGGTCCCCCATAATTAATAGGGTTTTTTAACCCTGCAATCCCCACTTAAAATTTCGCGCACCCCCGGGTTCCCCAGGGTTTTTTTTTGCCCCCCCCCCCCCCCCATTACGCCTTCTTTCCCCAAACCCCCCCCCCCCCCCCCCTCCTTTTTTTGCTTTTAGATCGCGAATCCCGAGCCTCAAATAAGGGAAATCCCGGATCCCGAAAAAATCTATTGGAGACCCTCTCATAGTGCCTGGTAGTTTATACAACTAGGAGTAATCGTAGCCTAGGAGAGCGCGTTTGACATGTTTGTTAGCTATTTGTATAACAAGAACGCTCTTAGTAGCGTGGGTCCCGCTTGCTTGGAGACCATGGGGAGGTAAATTTTGTTGTCAAAGGCGGTGGTGCTGTTATGCTACTTTTTCGTTTTGAATACAAAACGAGTATTGTATGTCATAATGTAAATATTCAAAACGTAAAAATTGCAAGCAGAGACAGGCTGCACATCTGGCTTAGTTTCACACCGGTGTGAAACCTTTGGAAACCTTTTACATATTGATATTACTCCAATGAGGAGAACTCTTTCAGGGAATTTACACTCAGAACATTGAACGATGGTTTTTATCAGTATAAATAAATATATATAGCTTCTATGTAGCGGACCAAGATACGGCTCGGTACAGTTTTTGTTCAGTACAGGAAAAATCAGAACCTTATATAACAGACAGTTAATTCAGTTTGCCCATATTCCTGTTGAATTTGTTGTCCGTATACTAAGATATCAAAATCGCGCGAAAGTAATTACATTTTCCATAGCTGCTTACTATCTGCTTTTGATATCTCGGTACAGCTGATGTTTACGCCATCTCAGAGTACAATTTTTAGAGCTGTACAGAGCATGCATTTTATCACAGTACCACTGGGATAAAGCGTTTCATTTTCCAGGAAAATTACACTTTCTCGTCAAAACAGTCACTGACTCAGTCAGACCCGGAGTAGTTTACTTAAATTTAGAGCTTAGTACAGCGAACGTGGTTATATTATGTGAAATTTATCTATCTGCGGCCCACAATGCCATGACCACAGTGCACGATTTATTTAAAATTTATTTTATGTCAAGTTTTTTTTAACCGATCCTGGATCCCTGATCCACGATCCTAGTTTTCCAGTAAGCCTCGAAGTTTTTGCTCATTAAGATTGTAATTTTTTTCCGATCACTAAAGTAATCACTTGTTCTGATTAAAGTAATCAACGTTGAAGTTGCTTCCAGTAGTAGTCAAAGGTTAAATCATTGATACCTCAAGTATTTATAAAGTGCAACGCGACTCCACATCTTAACAACTAGGAAAATCTATCAATTAAATACATACCACAAAGTGAATCTATTTAACCGTAGAGTTCTAGTAATTGCAACAATATTCTGAAAAACGTAACGCCTTAAAGTGATTCGCTGGTTTCGCACTGCGCATCTCTTACTGCACATAACAAGATGGCCGCCGTGATAAAGAGCATCTGCTAAAACAAGCTCGACTAATTAATAGGTGTACAGGTAGCAGTGGGCTAAACCTCTAAGTAAAGTACATGTAAGAGGGTCTCATGGGGTGGTGGGTTTTGTGGTTATCGGCTAAAATTTTGGCTCTTTTACGGTTTCTCGGTTATTTCTTTTTAGTTACGGTTTAATTTCTTTTGTTTCAAAGAGATAAATATTAATAAACCTGTATTTTTTCTATCTTTAAAGCGAAATAAAGGTCTTAGGATGGTCAATAAAATTGGCTAAAATTGGGATACAGAAAATTAAAGTCATCTGGAAAGTTTATTGATACGTGGAGCCGCAAGCAGTAAAATTTCTTTCCCGTAATTTAATCAGTTTTTTGCTTAAATTACTGATTAAATCAAAAATCATCAAAGTTGACAGGTCTTTCTGATAATCAAAGCGACCGCTCGGTTAACCATTTACATCTTCAGTGCGAAGACTGTCACAAGAACATTTACACCTTCAGCATAATTGCTTACCGTAACAGTGGTAGGTCGCTTCTGGTCGGTTTTAAAGAATTTGACCGTGCCATGTGCGCGTTGAAATGTCAACGTTTAAACCATACTGGAGCATTAAATTTTTGTTATAAAGGCAAAGAGGCCGCTGAGTAGAAACTAAACTGTCCCAAATTATTCCGTTTCATTGGTCTACGTTCATTTTGATGGGGCCTGTATGATGAATTTACTTCACGTACGTAAACAAGATCGAGTTGTAAAACATTTCATTTTGCTTTTGTGGAGTAAATTCATCTTAAAATAGTCCAACCGGTTAACCACTTTCTTCGCGTACTTGTGAAAATGAGCTAAAGTGCGAAAATTTTCTTGTCGTGTATTAGATTTCAGTATACATATTGTTAATCTTCATTTCGCGCCAGAATAGATTAGTTTGCGCGCAAAGGGCTTATATAAAAATCACAAGGTTTGTTCCACTTCGAGTCCACCTTCTAGATATACGCCGGCTTGGTAGCTGGAATACATACACACTTTTTCTTCCTCGTCGTTTTTTTCCCACGACATTTGTTTAGATTTGTAGTGCGAATGCAGTGCATATCGGTGGATTTTACTTCATCATGTGGCTTGCTACTTTTGAAGAAGAGTGCCGGATTTGCTTTGCTCGCCTTTAATTTGTTGTCGAATGCAAGGTAAAAGAACGGACTACTGTAAGGTAAGAACTGAAGTTTTAAATTTGTATCCCGGCGAAAAATAGCACAGAACTCGTAATACCCGGTGAATATTACCTCTCTGCCTAATGTCATATGACGACTCCTCACTTTTTCGATGGGCAACACGGAGACAAACAACAATTTCTTTCGCAATTTTAAGTATAATTTACTTATCGAGACCATTTGAGGTCGATTTTTCAGTTCGTTACATGCTTTATTACTTGGCGGCTTATTCCGGCTACGTGTGAGGAGTGAGATGACAACGTTTGTGTGCTACAATTATACTTGATAATTTCTTACACCTTTGTACGGATCGATGAAACTCATGAAAGCCATACTTGTTTAACCCTAGCAAAAAACTCTTCTATTATGGAGAAACTTTACCTGATGGTTGCACTAAAATCTAATAATTGTCACTGCATTTGCTCTCTGCAACCTCGTGGGCAGAATAACCTGATGGTTATCCTAAAATCTAAGAACAACTACCTTTACTCTTTGTACCCTTGTGGGTAGAACATACCTGATGGTTGCACTAAAATCTAATAATCACTGCATTTCGGCTCTTTGTAACCGCGTGGGTAGAACATACCTGATGGTTACACTTAAGTCTAATTATTCATTCAAAATATTTCCCCGATTCTGATTGGCTAAAAGCACATGCATAATTCACCATAACCAGCTACTGATGACCAAATTTGGAACAATTTTGCGTTTAATGAACCGATGATGTCAAAAGTGCAGCTTTCTTGCAGATTAATGCACCATTAACCAACGTTGTTCAAACTTGGTCATAATTGAGGTAGCTAAGTGAGGTACAAGCTCCCTTAAGCGAGTTTTAAAAAAATCCCTTGGTACCGAGAAATACAAAGGCAAGGAAAAGCGCAATGGCGTCCCTCGTTACTTTACTATGGTAATTCTGATGTCAATAACACATGGATCTTCACAAAGTTTCATCTTTATAATTAGTGCAGGTGTGGTAACGTTTTTGGGATATCTTTCTTAATGCTGACGTAGTAAACGCTCAAAGTGGGCAGGTATACTCCCTAAAAAATCCAGTGGAGCCACCTTAAGATCTGAGGACGGCGACGGCTACAAAAACGTCACTTGAAAAGTGAATGCTGGCTGCTTTAAACTATATAACGCTTAATTACTTCGTCGATTAATTCGTCAAATACGTTGTGCCTCATTTTGACGCTCTAACTAGCGTGGTGATTCGTGGTCAAGTGTTCCTGTCTTCGTAAAGCGTTTTTGATTTTCAAACTTTGTCATAATTGAGGCAATCAAGGGAGGTACAAGCTCCCTTAAGCGATTTTTGAAAAAATCTCTTTTTACCGAGAAAAACAAAGGAAAGTAAAAAGTATAATGGCGTCTTTAAATTACTATGGTAACTCTGATGTCAATAGAACATGGACCCGTAACAAATTTTCATCTTCATATAATACAGCTGTGGCAACGTTTTTTCGATATCTTTGTTGATGCTGACGTAGTACAAGCTCAAAGTGGGGAGGCATACTTCCTAAAAAATCCAGTCGAGCCTCCTTAAGCTCCCTATTAATCCGCCTTACACGGTCTGTAACGGAACAATTTACAACAGGAGGCTTTTTATCTCCTCCCTTCAGTAAATACTTCTTAAGAACGTTGTTAAATAGTTTACGCATGATTATGAAATTGAAAACGGATTAGCGTTGAAGCGGTTTCTACTGAGAAAGTGGAGACGTAACACCAAATGTTGGTAATAAGAACGGGCATGTCTAACGTAGTCTTATCGCCACGGTTGACTATATTAAGTTTCATTCTTTCATTTCCATTGTAGAATCAGGGGCGTAACATCTACATCTTTAATCTATAAAGGTTTCACATAGATGTGTTCAGGTAGAGCTCACAGCATTGAGATACAGGTTACATGTTTTTATGTATAAATCATAAACACCATCAAATATACGGTACTCATGTTGTAACAAATTAAATAATTAAATTACTTATGGCTCGTTTGAAGCCATAATATGTTTTAGATTTAAAGTCAGTCAGATTCCAGTCCCTAATACCAGCCAAAAATAGTTGTGGGTATTTCCTGACGAGGAGGGTTGAATTAACTCCTTATAGGAATTATACTGGCGGGTGATAATTTTTCTCTTAGGCTTATTATGGTCAGGTAAATGGGTCAGCGTAAATTTACATACCTGTCTCAATAGACATTCTTACGAACTACTAAAAGCGAAACTTGGGAACTGTCTTGCATATTTAGTCACCCTTGCGTATTTAAAATCATTGCGGCCGTTCGTTCAATTCTCGTTTGGATTTTGGATTTGTCCAAAACGAAACAGCTTCTTTACCTTTAAACAACCAAGCATGAAAAACAGTTCGAGTTCTCTGGAAAACACCATCAACCTCTCTGCTTCAGACTGTTCCCTTCCACTGGCTCATGGCATTGGCCTAATGGCGGCCAAAAGACAGCCTCGACACCACCCATGAAAACCATTGAAGGAACAAACGTAGCGCCAAGATATGTGTTCGGGATCTGATGCGTCTACGAGATTGTATCTTCTTGTTAGCTTGGCGATCGCTGATTTGATCGTGAACATGGTGTGTGAGCCTTTAGTCGTGGGAATCGTGGCCAAGAAAACGTTTTTCAGCGACTGTGCATCAAACCTGGAGCTCGCCTATGCTGTCTCTGCTAACTTCTTGTGTTCAGCTTCTCTGTTGCACCTAGCGGCAATCAGCGTTGATCGCTTTCTCGCCGTAATTTTCCCTCTCCGTCACGGTCGCATAATGAAGAGCTATGGCTTGAAGATCATGTTGATAGTTGCTTGGGGTGTAGCAGCAGTGTTTGCATCTCTTCGTGTGCCTTTCCTAAAAGAAACAGCTTACTTGGCTGCTCTGATGTTTATCATAGGCTATTTCCTTATCATCGGGTGCTACCTGTCCATCACGATTTCGGTATTTTTGCTCAGGAGGAGAAAGAAGCAAGCATCAAGGCAAGGCAGAACTGCAGTAATTTCCGTTGGTAGCAAAGCTGAGAGACGGTTTGCCTTCACGCTGGCTATTGTAATTGGCGTATTTACAGCGTGTTGGTTTCCCATGATCGTTGTTTTCTTTGTTGCTGGGAAATCTCTGGTGAAAATGTACGGAACCGCGTACATGTGGATAAGAACTTTAGCCTTGTTAAATTCAGCTATGAATTTTTTTATCTACAGCGCTAGAATTCGTGACTTCAGAGACGCCTTCGCAATTACATTGCGCAAGATTCTTTGCGTTGTTTGAAGCAATCCAGGTACTATACTCGGCGTACTCAATGGAACAGAATCGAACGAATTTCAACGGAACTTTAAGGGGCTGTTACAGTCGGATATTGCTATTTTAAGTCAATTCTATGCTGAAGTCTCAACTAAGCGCCTTTACTCATAAACAAAATGATTTGCTAGTGATATGAAGAATATATTATCAAACAAATTTCATCAACGAGCATCAGCCATAATAATTGCTTTGGTAAATTTTGCGGGTAAAGCCAATTAAAACAAAACTTGAAAAATGTGGCTCAACTTTTTCAAGTTTCAATCCATGTCCATCTTTTCCATCCGTTGCAACAGATGACAGGCAACAGTTTCAATACTTAAACATAGACGTGAATAACAAAACTGGCCATGCATGATTTAACGAATTAAATTGATACGAAGCCAAGTGTTAGCTTTTTAAAAAGATAGGAAATAGCGTAATATACTCTTGCCCCATATAATAGAATTCCGTTTTTCAGAATCTGTGAAATTTTTGCTTTTGAAATCTGGAATCCTGGGCTATGGAATCCGAAATACAGCTCAAGGAATCCGGGATCCCACTAACGATTGGCATTCGGAATCAAAGTTCTACTGAAAAAGAATCCGTAATCCCACAGCGTGGAATCCAGAATCCAAGAATGTCTTAATTGGATTCGACATAGCCCCTTTAAATCATCGACTGAGTTCGACATAAAGTTCGGTAATCGCCAACGTAAGGCCCAGTTCAAACGTCGAATTTCACATGTGCCGAACTTAATTCCTATTTTAGTCGACTAAGATAGTTAAATACGGCATTTGATTCAAACGTCGAATTCAACTCTCTGATCTCTGTCGAATTTAACTCTGTTCGCTGTCAATATTCCCGGTTAAAAAATAATAATTTACTAAAATTCATGCATTAAGTTCGGCACGTGTGAAATGCGACGTTTGAATCAAAAGTCGAACCTACGTCAAATTTTCGACTGTTTAAGTCGTAGATACGGCAAACGTCGCATGTAATTTAAACAGTCGAATTTAATTGATTCAAACGTCGCACTTCAGAGGCATTTAACTCTCGCGTTAAGTTCGGCACATGTGAAATTCGACGTTTGAACCGGGCCTAATTGAACTTGCCAAAAGAACATTCGCTCGATCGAACAGTTTTGAAACACTCCTTCACAAAAAATATAAGCTTATGAGTAAGTTTATTACTATTTCACGTTGTTCAGTCCCTACAAAAGTCTTCTTGACTGTAAAGTTTTCACTGATTACTATTTTGACTGATTACGATCTTTTTGGATCCGACGTTGAGCAAGATTGTTCGTACACGGTTTTTGCAGTAATAGCCACTTGCACTAAGAGGTCACGTGACCAATGCTTCCTTTAAATAATGAGTTGGAATCTTGCTGATGCCAAAAATTGACGGAGCACATAAAAATTATCTTACACCCAAAATTTGAGAGGAAACGCATTTAAGGGAAATATTTTATGGCACTCTGATTTTTAAGTAGTCATGATTTGTATTGGCCGCCATGTTGGAGGGCATACTCTTGCCCTCCAATATGGCGGCCAAAACTACTTTTTGCTTAGATCTTGTTAAACGTTTGATAGTTACGTTCAGATGTGCTGTAAACGTTCCCACATCGAGTTTTCATTATTTTTCTTGAACTTTAAGTGCAAAATTTGTGTTCAGAAAGAGGTAACTCATAATTTTAAAAATCACATTTTGGTCACGTGACCAGCTACGAACTGACCATTATAAGAAAATGGTGCAGGTTTGAGAAATTAAATCACTATTATTTTGTTAAAGATATAACCCACTAATCGTTTTTTGAAGAAAAAAAATCATTTAACTTTCATTATCATAAAAACGATGTCACATGACCTCTTAGTGCAATTGGCCTATTACTGTTTAAACCATGGACATCAGGGCCCGGTTCCTGAAAAGCCGATGGGCGCTAATCCAGGATTAAAATTTTGTTCCACTTTTTTGTATTTACTTTTCTATGCATCGCTTAGGCCCGGTTCAGACATCGTACTTTTCATGAGCCGAACCCAATACATTAATTGAATTAAGTACATGAAAAGTTCGGCGTCTGAATTAAATTAGGAACGCCTGTTTCAATTTGGAACTGCTCAGCCGTTCTTTCCGCCTTGCCCGGCCGGGAATCATTCGTCTTTGGTTCGACTTTGGAACGCCTTCGATTCAGACGCCGAACTTTTAATTTCATGAGCCGAACCTAACACATTGAATTGAGTACATGAAAAGTTTGGCGTCTGAATCAATGAGGAACGTCTCAGCCGTTCCTTTCGCCTCACCCAGCCGGGAATTTCGTCTTCGGAGCGCCTTTGATACAGCTTTGATTCAGACGCTGAACTTTTCATGTACCGAACCTAATGCATAAATTATTATAACGTATTTGTAAGCTGTTTGACCAAAATGAGTATTTTTCTCCTTTTCAATTTAGTTCGGCCGGAATTAAGATCGGCGTCTGAATCAATTCAAATTAAGGTCGACCCAAATTATTTCGACCGGCTGAATTGATTCAGACGCCGCCGATCTTAATTGCAGCAGAACTAAGCTCATAAGCCGAAAAATGTTCATTTCGGTCAAACAGGACCGGGCCTTAAAATAATATTTTGTGAAAAGGCTCAACAGTATTTTGTAAGCTGGAGTTACTATATACATGTTCTTAGACAAGAAAACCTTGCTTAAAATTTGGCTTAACCCTGGGTTAAACTTGACCATTTTTCGAGGAACCGGGCCCAGTTGTTATCTTGTCGTTTTGTCTTTTATCTTATTCTTTGGCTCTAAAAAGTATAACGGCGTACACAGGGTAACAAAAAAAGAATGATAGTTTTAGGCATATTTGAATGGTCAAGTTATCAATGATATTTTACAGTGTAATATTCCTAACATAAATGTAAAATACAACTCAAACAAGATAATAAAATTTAAGTTAGCCGTGGCGTGGGAGCAATCCATGTTTTCCCGCCATATTAACTTGCGTACTAATAAGGACGCTTTATTGAGAGATCAGAGGTTCTTGTCAACTTTTCACAGAAATGTAGTGACGGAACATAACTTTGACGGCTCTTTCCACGCTAAAAATAAAAGCTGATTTTTTACAAGGAAGGTTTGATTCGTGGGTGGTAAAACGCGCAACATTGCTACTCGTTTTGGAGCAATGTTGCAAAACAATTTGCACGCTTTTTTGCCTGTTTTACTGTATCTTTATACTGTTCACAGTCCCCTATTTTTTCGTGAGATCGTTTAGATATACCGCGTTTTACGTTTTACCGTATCTAAAGGCATCAGAATTCGTTCCGAAAGTCTGCCCTATTCTGCTTAATAACCTAAGCGGCAAAGGCTGTAAGGACTCTATTATCTGGAGGTCTTAAGGCATCCTCTCCCAGAAAAAAAAATAATGATAAATAAATGAATAAATAAGTTGTAATAAGCCTAACTTAATCATACCTACCCGCCTGGACTAGTTTTTTTTTTTTTTAAGTATTTGTGGGTAGGTACTTTTCAAATTGTAACTATCTGTGTTTGTGATTTTCTTTCATTTTTTTGGCAAGAAAATTGTAAACTATTTTTTATTCTTTTTTTCTACATTGGCCAAAGAGCCTCTCAAACGTAATCATGGCCGGTAACGCCTGCTGTCAAATTTGAAGTCCTACAGCCGGGAAACATCACCAAAAAGTGTAATCTGAGTCACTGTGTTCGAAGATATGGATAAATTTACTAACAGAGCTCTTACGATTTATACGATCACAGGCAGCCCAAGCGCACTATGTGTGGGTCCGGGCTTCAAAGGTCATTTGGTCGGAATATACTAGAATTGTTAGTGTATTATCTGATGCCAAATAAATGCAAAAGTCTTAACGACATGAAGACTTCTTGTTTGTCTATCTGCACCAGTAGCCTTTAAGATAACGAAGGTCGATATTTCTTGCATTATTACGTGTGATTCGGGCCCTTATTGTTCGAATTTTATGCCATGTATTCGTATCTACGACGCTAAGAATAAAAAAATCATGATCACGCGAAATATTGATTCAAAAAGCTCCCTTACCTTTAGTTCATAGCCACTCTGTGTCCTACGACCGGTTTAAATGCCTTTTAGTCGACTTTCTTTCCATGATTGCTGGCTGGGATTTTCATTTTCTGAAAGTCTTGTGAAATCTGGGTACGAGATTATCTGCAACCTCGTTGGT